TATAATATATTGTTATAGAAATTAAGCCTTAAATTTGAAAGCAGGTTCATAAAAGAATTTTTCAATATGTTGATTTTATTTATGATCTATCAGAGTTATGTTAATGTCTTAAATTAATTAGAGATGGATATTTATAAAGAGGTAAAAAGTTAAGTGCATTCTTTAATAAAAAAAGAGAAAATACTCTCTAGTGGCTGGTAAATTTATTAAAAAAAATGTAATAAAATCCGATGAAATAGTAGAATAATTTTTAGAAAAATAAAATAATCTAATATAATCAAATAATATAAATATTATAATAAAATATCAAAGTATTAATTGATAGTATTATTATTTAAATTAAAATAACAAGTTCATTATTTGATTATTATATTTAATGATGGTGATAGTATAAAATATAATTCGATAGACAGAATATCATGAATTATTAGCAGAAATCTTCAAAAAATATGGATGAGAGCTGGTGTTAGAAGTGAAAGGCAAAATAAGGTGAATTTGATGGTAATTTATTCACTGAGTAATTAATGATGTTTTGGAAGAATAGCTAAGAAAATGTTTAAAAGAAGTTGAGAAGTAGAAGATGAGAAATATTTAATGATAAATGATAAGAAGCAGGATTATAAGAATTTAAGGTAAAGGAATTAATATAGGAATTTGATAATAAGAATACTAGAATAATAGCGTAAAAAATAATAATAGTAAATAATTGATGTTTTATTTGAAAATGATTATGTATTGTTGAATTGATCGATAGAATTCATATTTTAGTTTAAGAGGAACAGAGTTTAATTGATAATCTACTTAAAGCTAGTTTAGAATATACAAAATCTACTTACGCCAACATCATTCCGCATTTAATGGGAGTTTGGAAATAATTAAATCATTAAGGAGGAGAAACCATGAAGAAATTTTAGCTTAAGTAATTGTATGAAAAATTTTGTTATATAGTATGTAGATAGAATAATGGAATATTAAGTAAATTAAGAGATGTAGTTTTATACAATTTAGAAGTAGATGAAATAAGGAAGCAAAAGAATATTAGATTATATATTAAATTTATGGAGAAATTAGAAGGTAAGAGATGACAATCAATTAAATTTGAATGTGAGAAATAATATATTAAGAATTAGATACTTAGTATTAGGCTTAAGATAATGAATTTGAATTTAAAGAAATAGGTTAATAATTATAGAATAGAAATAACAAAAGTTAAATTGATTATGATTGACATATTTTTAAATAATTCATATTAGATAATTGTTAGATTGACAATTGAAAGGGAATAAAACTTAAATGAAAAATTAAATTTTTAATATAATGAACATTTTATTAGAAAAACTCAACCCATTAATCACAAAATGTGGACTTGATAATACTGATAATCTTGAGTTACTTAGAGTACCATGCAAAAAACTTGGAGTTCGTCCTGCTCATCTTGTTTTTAGTTTATTAGTTACTTCATTAATCAGTATTGTTTTGGGAATTGCAGCTCGATTTTTATCTACATTTGTTTCTATGATTTATCCTGCTTACCGAAGTATCAAAGCTATAGAAACAAGCAGTATAGATATTTTAATCATTATTTATAGATAAAGATGATGATAAATAATGGTTGTCTTATTGGATCTTATTTTCTATTATAACATTAGCAGATTCAACTATTGGTTGCCTTTTGGAATTTATACCATTTTATCATGTGCTTAAATTATCTATTTTTGTTGTTCTCTTTCATCCAAATATAAATGGAGCTGAAAAAGTTTATTTGACAGTAATCTAATTCTTTTATATCTTAGTTTGTTTAACCTCTTTATTTAAAATATCATTAAAAAATTGATGAAAAACTTAATAAAGTAACAGATAGATTTTGAAAAGGTAAAATTTTTCATGATAGAATTTAAGTACATATTAGTATATAAACAATATTTTCTATTTACAATTAATCCTAATCTAAATTTTTTGTATACATTCAATATTCTTTTACTTTATTTTTTCAGCTTTTAGATTTGTTAATATAAATTAATAATATTCCAGGGGGGATTCAAAAATAACTCTTATCAATGAATAAATAGAAAATAAAATTTATATCAATTATATGAATCTTCATCCAATTCCTGAAGCCTTATGCGAGACTGATCAACAAGAGTTGATTGATAAATTACGGATAAAAAATAGCTTATTAGAAAAAAGATGCAATTTCTATAAAAGAAGAAGAGAATTACTAATACTCTAAATACAATAAGCTGAAAAGGCAAATAAATTATCAGAATCTAAAGTCTCAGTATTATCTGCTAATTGCAATCTTTCAACTATGCCTGATGAAAATGATTTGATCTAAAAATATCAAGAAGAATTGTAAATGAAAGATGCTTTAATTTTCGAACTAAAAGAAACAGTATCAACACTTGAAAATAAAATAAACAATTTATAAGCTTGTAATGATGAAATGTAGTATCAATTATCAAAGTAGCAGCAAGAATTTGTTCGAAGTGATAAAGTTAGTCAATCAGGTATTTAATCAAATTATCACTATAATAGTTATAATTGAAAAATCTACTAGCCAGGCAGAAAAAGCAATGGCAGTGATTGACAAATTTGTCTAGCCAATTTCTACAAGTTCTTTTAAATCTACTGATGGACAACCTCAATCAGCTGCAGATAAGAGAAAATTGATAAAGAGACTGAGCATGAATGCAGGAGCTTCTGCTTATATGATGGCAATGAAAGGAGATTATACTACCTTATAGAATGCCTCAGAAGAACTTCAAAGTAATAAAAGCTTAGAACAATCATGAATTAATTAATTTAATATATCAATTTTTTTTTTCAACCAATAGGAAATATTTGGTTTTGGTTATAAATATAGAAAAAAAAATAGTTTATTAATATTTATGTAGGAATCGGATAACGAGTCTCAATTTTTATATCAATCAATCACTTAACAATAAGATAGTGTAGAAGAAAAACAAGTATTGGTGAGTAGATTGACTGAAAGCAATTAAAATCAGGATGAATCAGTTTAAATAAACTTAGATTCTGAGATAATTAGTGAGTTAGAGGAAGAAATATTGTAGTTGCATAAAAAAAATGAATATTTAAATGAACAAATAATTGAGAAGGATAATTAGATTGCTTCATTAAAAGAGAGAGTTTAAAGACAAACTCTATTGAATGAAACATATTAAATAGCTGAAGCATAACTAAAATAATAAGTTGAAGAGTTGAAGAAGAAAATAGGAGAACTGTAAGAGTAAATTATATAATTACCTCCTCAATTGTAAAATATATCTAAGCTGAATTTGGATTTCAGTTGGGTTAATCATATGGAAAGAGATCTGTCTCATGATGGTTTGCTGGAACGTTATGATCGTTATAAATCTAACAAGCGTTTAGCTCCGATTTAAATTAAACCATATTCAGAGAAATTCAGATATAACAATCAGTAGCATAGTCCATATTTTGAGCAATTGACAGAAAGAACCTAAAACATTTAAAGGAAAAGAATCAATTAAAATAAACAATGATTTTGTTCATCTGTTTCAAATTGATATTTACTAAAGAATTTAATCAACATGATTAACAATTGATCCTCACCATTATCATACATTAAAGTTTCTAAACCAATAAGATGAGTTTTTTCTTGTTACAGATAGGTCATGCTAGATTTATTTCATTCCTGATTTCATTTTCAAATAATTAAATATAGATCTTTCCCATAACTAATAAAATTTCTTGGGAATCTAATTAGAAATCATTTCTAATATCCATTTTTAGATAATGTTCAATTTAAAGAACAAAATCAAATAAAATGATATTCGACAATATTTCCTGAAATTAAATATCATTATAATCATTCTCTAAATTACATAAGCATAAATTACAAAATACCAAATATTAATTCTTTTGCTTTCATCAATTAACAATAAACATTTAGCATTTATACAATAATTATAATTTTTAGGATTATTTTCAGAATTCTTTATTTCAATAATTAAATATCTAAACGCACTTTTATAAGTAAGTTTAATGTTGAGATGAAATTAACAAAATTACTTAATAATGTAAGAGGCTTTATAATCATTAAAATAAATTTGAATTTATAATGTAAAATAAGTGATTAAAATAATATATACGAATATGAACCATTAATAATGATTTATTAGCTAAACTAATTTATTCTTGATGAATGATATGAAATTTGAGAATTCTAAGTGTTCCCTCATTTTTGTGAATTCGTTAATTAATGAAAATAGAGAGAGAGATCAATAAAACAAAATTATCCATTTGCTAAATTATTTTAAAGTAGATTTATAGATTTATCTGAATATGAAAAACAAATAAATTTTTTTTGTTTAGATATATAAATAATAATTTTTGTGAAATATTAATATCAAATTTTTATAATTAAAATCATTAAATAAAGATTTGAAAATTCTTTCAATTAAAAAACCATATAAAAGGTGCAAAGATACAATTAAAAAGTTAAATAAGCCCATGGATGATGACACTATGGAGGATTATTGCAATTGTAACAAATACTATTAGTTCTACATTTATAGTTGTTGAGTCGGCCTGTGGTTGACAGGTACGCGTTTAATCATGTAAAAATAAAGGTGAAGAACATATTATGCAAATTTCTTTGCTTTCACATTATTCACAACCATCTGAACATTGATGGCAAGTATCTTGATCTAAATATTCATTAATAGCACACTCTTTTTAACATAGTTAATTTTTAAGAATGAATCCGTGTTTGCATTCAGAGCATTAATTTTCATTTATACATGTTAAGCAATTTGATGGACAAGGTTAACAAATATCTTTGGATAAAAAGTACTCATTTTATTGGCATTTAGTACATTTGTCTTTTAAACAATTTAAACATTATTCTTATTTGCATTTAAAACATTAACCAGTTTCATCTAGATAATATCCTTATTCTTCACATAAATTGCATTAATCTTTGTTGCAATTTTTGCATCCATCTTAACATTTTTTACATTCTGAGTTATCAAGATAATAATAATCTTATTGACATTTTGTGCATTAATCTTTATTGATACAAGTTAAGCATTAGCCTTAACATTTTACACAAAGATTTTCATGGGGGTAAAATTAATCATTTTCACAAAGTTCACACTTATTTTCAGTACAACTTAAACAATTTGGTTAACACTTTTTGCATTCTTGATTTTTAATATAATATTTATCTGGACATTAATAACAGTTTAATTTATCGCAGATTTAACAATCAGATATGCATTTTTTGCAATCCTTACCTTCAGAATAGTATCCTGTTTAGCATTATAAACATTCTTAATAATTACATTTTAAGCAAAATTAATGGCATGATTTGCATGAACCTTATTCAAGATAATAATTAGTGAGACATGAATAGCAAATTTTATCAAGATTGCATTTAATACATCCTTCTCCACAATCTTGACATTATTCTTAAGTACAATTTGATTAACAATATGGGTTTAAACATTTTTAACATAGATAATCTGTATTTAGATAGAATGTATTTTAGCAATTAAGACATTAAGTTTCAGTGCAGGTCTTACAATTTTCAAATTTATTAGAACAAGAATTACAATTGATTCCATCAAAGTAATAAGAATCTAAGCAAAGAGTACAACCAATTTCTGATTTACATATTTAGCAATTACTTAGACAAGGTTGACAATTCTGAGAAGAAATATAATAAGCAATAGGACATTATGAACATTCGGATTGATTGCATTATAAGCAAGGAGGAGTGCATGATTTACAAATTCCATTATATAGATAAATTTAATTATTGTTTGTATTACATTATTGACAGGATTGTTTAGAATCGCATTATAAACAATTAGATGAACATTTTTCACATTAGAAATCTTAAGTCTTGAAATATCCAGTTTAACATTATGTACATTTATTATTAGAGCATTCTAGACAGTTATCAAAATGACATGTTTAACAGATTCCATTATTTTAGACATATCCATCAATACAAGTAGTACATAAATCAATAGCTGAGCATGATTTACAAGGGGGCTTACATTCTAAACATTTTTATCTATCTTAATCTAGGAATTATGAACTTGTACATTAAGTACAATTTGATGGTGAATAAATACATGATAAACAATTTTAATTGCAAGGTTGACATGTGTATAAATCCCAATCATAATATTAAGATTGAGGACATGAACATTTATCATTACAAATTAAACATGTTTTAGCAGTTGGAGTTAAGATATAACCAACTAAACATTTAGCACATGAATGATCAGGTGTTTCGCAATTACCACAATTATCATATGTAACTGAACTACATTTATGACAACTATCATTAAATACTAATTCATAATAATGACCAGTTATACAAGAAAGACAATTTGTTGCATTATCTTTACAAGTTCTACAAGGTGATGAACATTTAAGACAGTCTCCATCTTTTTAATAATAACCATCTGAACAACCATTTTTACATATTATTTAAGTAGTACTAATCATTTAACAAGAACCTTTACATTTTTCAGGACACTTAACACATTTACCTTAAGAAGGACTATATGCATTTGTCTTGCACTCTGTACAATTATTATAAGAAATGCATTTACTACATGAAAAAGGACAATCATAACATTTTGCATTCTCTAAATAATATTCATCTTAACATTTAAGACAAGTAGATGAATTATTACATTAAATACAAGATTAAATTTTATCTGAACAATTGATACATTTATTATTCTCTAAATAAGAACTATTAAAACAAGATGTGCAATTTTCATGATTCTCTTTACAAGTCCGACAAAATATGCTACATTTGATACAATCTCCATCTTTTTCAAAATAATATAATGCACATTCATTACAATTATATGATGTTGTTGTACAAGTAGCACATTTAGCATCACATTCTAAGCATTATTTTTAGTCTAAATAATATCTTTAAAAACATGATAAACATTCATCACTCTTGTTTTCACATGATTTACAATATTCAGAGCATGGTAAACATTTATTATTACTTAAATATTTACTAATTCCACATTTTGCACATGAATCTTCATTATAACAGGTAATACATTAACTATCCTTACAACTTATTAATTAACATTTTTATTCTTAATTTAATATATAATTTTATTTGCATTTAGTGCATTTCTCTAAACTAATACATTCTTAGCAATTTTAATCACATTCATTGCAGATTCCTTCATTTAAATAATATCCTTATTTACAACTAAGACAATTTGTAGAACTTTAATAACAAGTTTAACAGTTTTAAGAGCAAACTTGACAATTTAATCCATTCATAAAATATCCATTTAAACATGTTTCACAATTAGAAGAATTGGTAATACATTAATTGCATTAACTTTAGCAATATATACAATTACCATTTGGAAGAGATTTAGTTAAACACTCAATACAACATGATGAACATTATTTTTCACATTTTTTGCATAATCCTGTTGTTGTATCTAAAATATAACCATCCAAACAAGATAAACAAAATAATTTAGAGGAACATCTTAAGCATGGCGATATACATTGAATGCATGCATTTGATTCAAGATAATAATTATCATTAATACATGATTAACATGTTGTTATTGTGTTTATACAAGTGAGACATGGAGGTTAACAAGATACGCATTTATTCTATATTAACGATTTATCTTTTGTACAACTATAGCATTCAGAACTAGATTCTGAACAAGTAGTACAATTTGTATCACAGTTATTACAAATCTTTTATTAAACAAAATAACCGATTTTACATACATTACATTAATTAGAATTAGGACATACTTAGCAATTTCCATTACATAATCTACAATCTCCTATTGAATTGTTAAAATATCCATCTATACATTATTCACAAAAATTATAAGATGAACAACTTAGGCATTCTTATTTACATTTTGAACATCCTAATTATTCATTTAAATAAAATCCTTTTTTACAAATCCTGCATTGACTTGAATTTTCACAAATTAAACATTCATTTATTACTGAACATAATAAGCATCTATTTTCTTCTATAAAATAACCATCAATACATGATAAACAGTCACTTACACTTTTACAATTTTTACAAGGATCAACACATTAATGACATTTCTCATTATCATTATAATAATTATCAATACAACTAGTACATTATGTTTCACTTTGACAAATTGTACATTAATTAGGACATTAAAAGCATCTCTAATCCTATTCATAATAACCATCATCACATTTCTCAATAATAGTACTACAATCAGAATCACATTTAATACAAACTCCCTCTATACATCCAACACATTCTGAATTATTACATTTTTTGTAACATTAATCTCCGCCTGGACTTTTTATTCCTCTACATACACAGACTTTAGTTACTAAATCTAATTCTGTGTTTGCTTTACATACTTCACATGTCTCTTTATTATAATAAAAACTACAACTTTCACATAATGGATCATTGCAAAATCTTATTAATTGAATTGCAAAATCAATCAATTTCTCCAATTAACCATAATCTAAAAAATCTACAAAACCATCAATCTTATAACTTAATAAAAATGACATTACTAATGACTCTTATATCTAACTATTCAATTATTTCTTTTATATTCCAATTTAAACCAATAAAGTCTATTATTTCGAGTATTAAAATATTTAAACATCATAACTATTTTCTCCATATATTTTCATAGTCTAATATTTATCATGCACTTTTACATTATCTTACCCATAATCAAATATCATTATAAATTATTAAGAAATTATAGTCCCTAAAACAAAAACATTTTCTCTCTGCAATTGTATCAAATCTCTCCCTTAACTATCTTTAATAACTTTATTGTGATTTATTATTTAAATTGATTCTTTTACATTATCTTCATTTTAATACTTAACTGTATTAATTGTATCCTAAAAGTTTTAGAGTATAGTATTATCATATTTAAAAGCAGTTCCTAATTTTTTTAAAGGTCCATCAATTTCAAAAGATTTTTCTAAAATTTCAGTTAACACTGCATTCTAGGTAATAGGCACACATTTTTAAGAATTTTTTAAAGGTTAATAATCAATTTCACAAACACATTCCCCATTTTCAGGCTTCCTTTTATTTTCAGTATAACATGTAAGACAATAGTTCCTTTATTCATATTTGCATGTTCGACAACTTTTATTACATTCGAAGCATTAATTGGAATGAATCCTTTGTAATTCTATCATTGAGTCCTTACAGTAACATTCCTAGTTAATAAGATTTCTTGTGGATGGACAAGTTAAACAAGTATTTACTTCTTAACAAGTTAGGCAGGTATAATCACAAAAACCTTTAACCAAAGTTAAAGAAATCAAATATTATATCATTTTTATTATTTTTATTAATAATTCATATATATATTCTACTTAAATTTTTCTAGAAAAAAATAATCGAATTTTTTCGAAAAAGAATTAGACAAAAGATTATCTGTTATTGAATAATTACAAAGTATTAAAATGAAGTTTCAATATATGAACCAAAATTTAATATAAAAAGGAAGTTATAATAATATCATCTTCTCTTATCATACTAAAATGGCAGAAATACTTCTCACTATTTGTTTATCATATTTTTACTTATAGAAACTATTTTGTTATATATTTAAAGTTAAACTAAAGGAGCTCTTCAGTTATTTTATATAACATTTTTAATAGTTGTATTTTCAATATTTTCAACATTTCTAAGTTATTGCATCTACAATAATTTTATATATTCTAGTAGCTTTTGGTAAATTTATTTACATAATAATTATTATAAATAAATAATAATTAATTATTAAATCTACGTTAAAATTATATTTTTTCATCACAACTTATTATGACTATTTAAGAATATCATCAAAATCTTTTTTATATTTCATTTTAAAATCATTAATTTTATAACATTCAGCAGAGGATTAAACCAAATTTATTAAAATAAATAAAATTCGTTTGTTCACAATCAATCCAATTATAATTAATTGTGTTTATTTTTTTATAAATTATTTCATTTCTAAGAATTCCCACTTTTTAGTGAAGAAATTAATTGTACTTGAACTGATTTTGAAAATTGAGTAGGTAGCATTTATATTTATTTATTCAAATTTCATTTTTGAAAACTTTAAATAAATTCTCAGTCTTTTTAAAATATACTCAATATAACCTCTAATTTAGAAAAAATTTAGTTGTGATTAAATATTATTCAAAATTTTAGAATGTTTAAATAATATTATAAGAAAAAAAGAAAATCCGAAGGAGAAAATTTGGTAGAGATCATAAAAATTTGAGGATGTAATTTTATAAAAGAAATATGGATAGTTATATAATCATTATTTAAGTATTCCTTTAATGGGTGTTTTTGATGATGAAGGCACGTTTCCGGTGTAAAATGTTGATATGAAATCTACTCTTTAAGTTCTCTTAAATTTACAAATAGTATTTTAAGGTTTAAATTAAACTGAATAGTCACTGATTTAAACATCTTCATTATCTCCTATTGGTTTGAATGGTTTATTTAATTGCAATTATGCATTCATTTATATAAATATATGAGAAATATAATTGAAATGAGATTTAATCCTTTTTAATTAATTGATTCCGAATTTATCATAATTGAGAGCTTTAATAATTTTAATAATCGGCATTTATTTTCCATATTAAGACTCTTCGTGATTTACATTGTGAATGAATGACTTAGATGAATGAAAAAATATATAAAATATGTAAAAAAAGCTAAGATTGATAAATATAACCTTAAATTATAGTAAAATGAAAGCTCAAAAAAAATAATTTTTAAAGCCATGAACATCTAGCAATGAAGTTCTAATTAATCAAGGGGATATTATAAGAACTTTAGATCAAATTTTCGATCTTTTTAAATTATTATTATTAATTTTAGAATTTTAATTAATCATATATAATTATTATAAACATGCAAAATTTATCATTTTATTTCTAATAATTAAGCTAAAAATATTTCTTTTTGCAGTTTTTGTTATTTAATCTTTAATATATAACTTTTTATTATAAGATTTGATTAGTTGATTTATAAGATTGTTTAATATTTGAAAAAAAATAAAATTATTATTATAATGAAAGAAATTATTAAGTTTAGTTAATTTAATATAATTATCACTTTTGCAATGTGAAATAATATATATTTAAATTAACTCGAAAATTAATCTATTTAACCTCTATCTATATTCTTAAAACGCAGTAAATTAGAATGCTTAAGGTTTTCGTTTAAAATTTACTTATAAAATTTCAGACCTTAAAATTATGATTAGTGATAATATTTTTGTTAAAAATTATTGAGAATTATATTCTCATTTATTGAACTTCCAAAAAATGAATACTTAGGCTGAGGTTATTTTAATCAAATATATAGTAACTTAAAATTTAATGAAAAATGATAGACAAATAAATAATAGGTTAATTTAAACTCGATTTTAAGTCTAAAGGAAAATGAATAGATGTTTTCAATTATTTTTGATTATTAAAGTAGAAAAAAGATGTATTAGATTGTAAGATTTTTGAAGATAAAATAAATATAAAAAAAGTAATTTTCACAATCCTAATAGTACTTAGATTAATTTAAAGAGAAAGATTTGATCCTAATAGTCTAGAATGTAAATATATTTAGAAAATTTAAATCTGTAGCTAATTTAAATGGGTAAAGTGCTTTGTAGATGGTATTTACAAGTAATGATTCCTTTATTGAAAGAATAGCTAATGTGAATTTAAATTTGAGATACTTTGATTTTGATTACTTTAAATATTTTGGTCTTGTTAAAAATAGCTGAAGATACTTGTTTTGAATTTAAATTATTAAAATTCGCTTCAAATTTTTACTCAGACTTAGTTTAAGTTACTAACAATACAATAACATCAATTAGTAGCTTCTAAATTTAATGGAGGTATAATTCATTTACTATTTTAGGAACTGAGCTTCATAAAAGAATGGTTTTAAAATTCTAAAGGCTTTCTATATAAAGGATATTCAAAAATTACATATTATAATGCTAATACAGACTAATTGCAATATACATTTTATTTTGAATTTTCTATGATTATTAATAGAGAGAGTGAAGGATTTACTGCTTTTAAACCATTAAGTAGTAAAGCAACCTCTACTTGTAATCCAAATAAAGAATGTGTTACTTAAGATGATACTATATCTACAACATAATCAGGATGAAGAAGATTGATAGCAAAACGTACTTTTTTTAGATACATTTAACAGATAAACATAAATAGGATCTATCGAACCTTAAGGATTAATTTAGGTGCTTCATGTAAATAAGAACTTCATACTAATAGATTTGCTATGAGAGGTGTGTATCTTTTTCAAAAGAGACAACATATTCTTGGCTTTATTTTTAACATTATCTTTTTGATTTAATAATATATTTTTTTAAATCTTTTATTTTAAATTAATACAAGATGTTATTTTTAAAACAATTTATAATTTTTATTCATACATAATTTATTATTAGTTCTTTTCATACAGAATATAAAAATCCTAAGTTTTAATTATTTATTTATAAATAAAATTATTAATTCATAGGATAAATTTAGTAAATGAAATAGTATTAAGCAATAAATATTTTATATATAATAAGAGCTGTTAACTTTAAATATTTTAACCTATTTAAAATGTTTCACCTAATTATGTGTAGTAATTAAAGTAGTATTTACAAATATTAATGGATTATAAGAATATGTAGTACTAATAGATTTAGAAATTAATTTATATGATTATAGTGAAAGTTGATCCTGATTCATCAAAAAGTGAAAATTTAATGATAAATTTGGCTTTTAGATTTTTAATTTAGATTATAAATTATAAAATAATTTTTAGAATTTTTATTACTAAGAAATATAAATTGTTTTTCGATTAATGATTTATAGATTAGATTAATATATTTGCTTAAGACAACAGGTTTAATATAAAATATCATTTGATAGTGTTATTAAAATATTATTTATAGTTGATTGAATATGATAATTGTATATGAGATAATGATTTCTCAAAATAAAGTAAGAAGTGAAACTTGGTACAAGAATTTAAAAAAGGTAAAATTGTAGATTTGAAATGATTATCAAAAGATTAATATATGAATAGATATTGGTTAAATATGTATTGACCAAATGGTGTATTTAAAGTATGATAAAATGCAGACTTAGTATATAAATAATGAATACATTTATGATTTAAAATAAAATATAAAAAATGGGATCAAATTGTAAGTCGAAGCCATTGGGTAATAATATTGATTACAACATTTAATTGTGTACTACAACACAATTAGAGAAACCATAAGTGTAACAACAGTATTCAGAGGATGAAATTGTATAGGATTCAGTTTCTTCATGTGATTATGAAAAAGATAGAAGTGAGACAAAATCAATGGTTTTACGTTCTCCTGATGTTTCTTTGAATTCTCCAACTTAAAATGATTCAGTTGTAATATCGAGATTGCATTTAACATCAGATGATTTTGTAAAAGTTCGGAATTAGAATTACTTAGATTACTATTCAAATGAGAGATTGTTAGGAGTAGGCAGTTATGGAAAAGTATATTTAGTGAGGAATAAATAAACAAGTAGATTTAAGTTGAATATATTAGATTAATTGAGAGCGATGAAATAACTAAAAAGGAAGTAGAGTCTAGCATCTAGATAGTCTTTGAGAGAGATGGAAATATTAGAGAGATTAGATCATCCATTTATAGTGAAGGCATTAGAAGTATATTAAGATGATTAAAATTACAATATGATTATTGAGTAAATTAAATTAAGAACATTAGATTCATATCAGGAATAGATTTATAAGAAGATATATCGAATGGTAAATTTACAGAGGAGAAGGCAGCAAAGATTATGAATTAATTATTATTGGCAATAGGTTATATTCATCATTAAGGAATTGTTCATAGAGATATTAAACCAGAGAATATTTTATATCAATATAATAATTAATTTGAATGGATCAAACTAATAGATTTTGGAATTTCAACTAAAATTAAAAAAAATAAAAAATTGAGTTCTCAATTAGGATCTGTAAGTATAATATATTTATTAGATGTACTTTATGGCACCAGAAATATTTTAGAAAGATTATGGATAGCAAATTGATATATGGGCATGTGGTGTGACTTTATTTTATATGATTCATAAACGTTATCCTTTTATGGGGAAAACAGATTAAGATATGAGGAATGCAATTATTAATGGTCATTTTATTCTGGATTAAGGTATTAGTTAGGAATTAAAGAATCTTTTGAATAAAATGTTATAGATTAATCCAAATAAGAGAATTACAGCATGTTAAGCATTACAAGAAGATTGGTTTACTAAATTTAATTTAGGATTTCAATTAAATTAATCAGTAAATATATATAAAAATTCTAATTTATAGGTTATACATAAATTACTTAATTATCGTAGTACTTCTCTTTTTGAAGAATTGATATTTTCATTAATAACTTATTATGGATAAAATTCAGATGATTCTGGATAAGCAATTTAAACATTTTTATGTTTGGATAGAGATTAGGATGGATTGATTTCAAAATAGGAATTAAAACTAACACTTAAGAATTACAATATAAATATTGAAAATTAATCTAAACTTATAGATAATCTATTTTCTAGTCTAAATAAATCATAAGATGATACATTAACCTATAAAGGTTTTATATTTAAATAATAAATAGAATTTTTAGCTGCTTCTGTTGTAAGTGATAAAATACAGACTCGAAAGTGCTAAAAGTTTTGTTTCTAATTATTAGATATTGATTAAGATGGAAAATTTTCGGAATCTGACTTTTGTCGTCTTATGGGAAGAAAATAATCAAATTTATGGTATCTATTGAATCCAACAGATAAATCCTACATAACAGAAGAAGAATTTTATGGAATGTTCAAATAATGAATTACTCTTTATATACTTTAGTATGTCATTTTTTGTTTTATTTCTCTTATTTTGGGTTATTGGCAAAATAAATCTTAAGTCCAGTCTTGTCATTTTTATCAAAACGATATCCCTAAGATATTTTAAAAGTTTATAGTTCACTTGAAGAGTTTGCATAACAATAGTTGCTTGTAAGGCATCATCAAAATCTACAAAACATAGCAAATACTCTCTTCCTTTTTAAGTTTATTTTTTGATCAATCGTACTCTTTGGAAACCTGGATAAGGACGAAAAATATCTAATTAATATAAAGTATTTATACGTGCTACTTCCCGTTCTTATGCATCATTTGGTATTCCTATTTAATTTAAAAGTAAATACCATCTACATAAAGAGAATGAGTAGATTCTTTTTAAGGTTAGAATTACTAATTGTCTCGAACCAATTCAAAATATTGATTATTGAACATAGGATTTGGGTATGGGTTATTGAACATTAATTATATATAAATTATTAATATATTAAAATGGATAAATCATAACCTATCAAGAGATCTTCTAAATAAAAAGACACTGATTATTAAGAAAAACCTTAAGTAAGCCTATCATTTTGAATGTAGTCTAAAATAATGTAGGATACTCAATAGAGTAGTCAATAATACATAATAACAGATGCCACTTTTGAATTGATTATAAGAGAAAGAGATGCTTTAATAGAAAGACTTGAAAATGAATAAAGATAATTGAAATCATAATTGGACCAAAAGAAAATTGAATTATGTGAACTTTCATAACGAATTGCATCTTAACGTGGGAACCACCTTTTAAAACTTTAATAGTCAGGCATCTAATTAAAATAAATACAGCCAGATGCAGATGCCTATAAATGACTTACTTAATTAATTATAATTTTTTTATAATAAAGTTTCATACAATACTCTATATAAATAAATACTTTATAATTATTCATCCTTAAAAGTACTCACTCCTCTACATCAGTACATGAAGATGAATCTTATTTATTAATTACAATAATACAATCTTAGATTCAATATAAAATATTATTTATTCCCATTTTTTATTAAATATTTTTAATAATGTCAAGAATATTATTTATCATCTCCTGTTTCCTATTTGTGAGTTAATCAACCTTCATAAATGATTTAGAATATTTGACTGAAATCAACAATAATGTTGTCATTGGAATATTTACACAACCTTCAGACTCAGACTATGTTGATTATCCTTCTAGTCAATATTCATATTTAGCTGCTTCTTATGTCAAATTTGTTGAAATGGCTGGCGCTAGAGTTGTACCTATTCCATATGAAGCTGATAACTCTGTCTTAGAGAAATACTTTTAAGGCATTAATGGTATCATAATTCCTGGAGGAGCATCTGAACTTGATACACCTACTGGACCATCTAAATTTACTAAAGCTGTTGCCTATATGTTAAATAGAGCATTGTAACTTAATGATGCTGGACAAGTATTTCCTGTTCTTGGAATTTGTATGGGATTCTAAACATTACATTATATCATTTCTGGTTACAAAACTCCATTCCTTTTTAGAGTTTATGGAGAGAACGGTATCAGCCATTCATTAGAAAATGGAGATAGATCTTTTGCATTATATAAGGATTTCGATGACGACACCTATTAGCTAATACAAACCAATCAATATTTTTATTATAGTCATAACTGGGGTGTAAGTCCAGACTTATACAAAAAGTATCCCTCTTTAGATACTTTCTTTTAAATCACTGGTACCAATCAAGATTCTAAAGGCTAAGTTTTTGTTGCTTCAATGTAAGGTAAACAATATCCTGTTTATGGTGTTTAATATCATCCTGAAAAGAATATATTTGAATGGAAGGTTTCTGCTCCCCATAGTTATTTAGCAGTTAAAGTATCAGCTAATCATATTGATTCTTTTATAAATTATGCTAGATAGAATACAAATTAATTTAATGAAGAGTAATTGAAGAAGGCAATAATTTATAATTTTAACACTGTTTAAGAAAAGAATGCTTCATTCGTTTAGGTTTATTTCTTTAAAAATGGAGAATTGAATTTATGATAATATTGGAATAATATAAAAATATTTAATTATAACAGTTAATTTAAATAATAATGAAGCAGAACAATGAAAACAATTATGTGAGAGTGTCATATAATAACTTTATGACAACACGTAATAGATAGTTTGGAAATGAACTTACAAATTTTTAACGACTTCCCACTCGTTCTGCTTCTTAATTTATATGTTCAAAGACAATTCTGAAAATGGAAGAGGAAAGGATACCTCCAGAATTGGTAAATCCATATGTAGGTGATATATTTGAATACTTATGTGTGAATCAACATAAGTTTATGTGTTAGACACCATTTTATATGAATTTGTAATTGGATATAACAAATCAGATGCGGTCAATTTTAATAGATTGGTTAGTGGATGTACATTTAAAATTTAAATTGTAATCAGAAACACTATATCTATCAATAAATTTAATAGATCGTTATTTATCAAAGAATACAATAATGCGAAATAGATTATAATTGGTTGGGATTGCATCTTTATTCATAGCATCAAAATTTGAAGAGATCTATGCACCTGAATTAAAGGATTTTGTACATGTGTGTGATAATGCATATACTAAAGAAGAAATCTTAGGTATTTTAATAAAATAAATTTAGAAATGGAAAGTAAAATACTTTTAAGTATTTAATTTCATTTAACTTATACATCCCCTTTAAAATTCTTAGAAAGATAAATATAAGGAGCTAATCTTTGCGATAAGATTAATTATGCATCTCGTATGATTTTAGAATTGTCTCTATTAGATATTAAATGTTTAAAGTATTGATTCACTTACTATAATATATCAGATTCTCATCATCATTATTAGCTACCACTTCCATACTTTTAGCAATCAATTTACTTAGATCACCATAAGTCTTACCATCATCTTTACATTACATTGAAGACTAAGAGGAATTGAGATAATGTTTATCAGAATTTCTACCAGTCATTTCACTCTTGAAAAGTTTCAACATGACAGCAATTAGAAGAAAGTATCAACTTGAAAAATTTAACAAAATTGCAGATGTAATATTATCGATCCTACCTAATTAATCATGAATCATTATATATATAAATTATATATATGTATATTTAAATAATTATCAAATTCAATTTATTTTATCGAGTTCTGATTATAATTATTATTATGTTATATATCCAATCTTCTATTAATCTATATATTCAAAAGCATTCTTTATATTCTCTTCAAACATTTGATTATTAGAACAACGTCTATATTATTATTATTATAATATTTATTACAAAACTAACTATTTAAATTCTTCATATTTTAGTTTTCCATCTTTGGCTATATTAAACTTTTCATAATACTGACTCAATGTATAATTGAATTACTTTATTGTACCCTTTATAACTTTAAAACATTCTATTGATGACTATCTATAAGATTAAAATGGAATCTAAAATTAATTATCTCAAATTATATATTACAGAAAACTTTTCTAACCATTTTTTAAACTCTTACATAGTTAAATATTAATTATTTGCTTTTTCTATCTTATTGAATATATTTTCTATTTGAATTCTTTATAATTAATTATCAACTCTCAAAAACAAATTCTCCATATCTTTTATACTCACTTGTTAACCCCAATTCAATTTCTAAACTAACAAGTCTATTGAAATGTCTTATCTAACTATCTCATTCCTTATTATACTAATTATATATCTCTCTTTGTTCTAAATTTAATTTTTTAAATTTACATTACAAATATCATCCAAATTAACAATGTCATTAAATTAATTTGCAAATAAAGGATGTCTATACAAATCTAACCAACTTATTCTCTCTTCTAATTTAAATTAATTATATGTAACACAAATACCTTCATTAATGATAAGACATCTTCTTATAACATCTTTCATATTATCACTTACTTATTTTATTTTATCTGGAAACATTAAAGGTTTTTCTTGAATATTTTTAAGTAACTCTACAATTGAATTAGCAGTCCAAGGAGCTTAAATATATATAAGATAATATTTATATACTCTTTCCAAATAACACTTCATAAATTATAAACCCAAGTGACCATATATCACATTTAGTTGAATATCTATCTTACAAATATAACAATACTGCTTATTTTACAATAATTATGGACTCATATATAGTGGAGTACCCAAAACAGTTACAAATAATTATTAAGCATAATTATCAACTAATCTGGCAAATCCGAAATCTGCCAATTTGTATTTTCCATTTGAAATTAAAATATTAGCTGGTTTTACATCTCTATGTATTATGCCATTTTAGATTAATTCCAAAAATCCTTTTAATAAATCTAACATCAATCGAATTGTCTCTTCTTCTGTTAATGTCTACTATTTTTCTAATAATCTTAATTAAGTTATAAATATATTCAATACTTTCTTAAATCTCCATCACATAAATCCATTATTTAATAGTAATTATTTTATGTCACAAATGTTTCATATAATCTTACAATGTTCTCACCCTTTAATTTAGTCAATATTTTTAGCTCATAGTTTAATGCTTCGGGATTATATATTTTGTTCTTTGGAATCACCTTTATAGCATATGCTTATTGTGTTATTGTATTTGTCCCTTTAAATACTTATCCATATGATCCATCTCCCAAAAAATTTTATGTGTTGTATTAATATTTCTCCACTCTTTTCTCTACCCCTTATTTCTATTAAGACATTTATTTTCTAATTTTATTATTCAATATAAACCTAATCAAAAACTCTAAAAAATATATAAATAAATAATTATCTATGTAATAATAATCAAAAAAGTTTACAATACGTCGATCTACTGTGATTTAAAAACCCAAAATTGAAACAAGTAAAATATCATTTACAATTCTAAGTTTCATAAAAACCTGTTTGCAAGATTCCTCAATAAACTCCTAGTTAATAAACTTAATTAGAAAATACTTCAAATCTATTTAAGTAAATATATAAGATATTTAATCATTTTTAGTAAAGAAGAATATAAATAATTGTAATATGAAAATGAACAACTAAAAAAATAACTCAAAGACAAATCTTAAGAGTTTGATAAAAAATTATCAATCATAAATGAGGTATAATGATAATAATTCTTATAAAAGTTAACAAAATAATTAGAAAAAGAACTTAAGAAAAGAGAAGAGGAGATTGATTATTTTATTCAAAAGATTGAAAATAAGGATAAGGAGATAAAATAATAAAAAGAATAAATTGTGAAATTAAAAAGTAAGAAGAAAGATTACAAAAAGAAATGTCAAGAATTGTAATAATAACAGTAATAGAATTCACATGACCCACTTCAACAACTATTAGAAATGAGAGCACTTCTTCTATAATTCCGATTAACAGCACAAGTGTTACCACTTCTATAATAATAAAATAGATTAAGACAATATTAAACTTAAGTAATTGATGTAGATAATATGACTTATGAATAATTAATATCACTAGAAGAATAAATGGGGTAGATTATTATTTATGAATTATAATTAGAACTGTATCTAATGGAATAGCTAGAGAAGATATTAGAAGAATACGTAAGAGAGTAATTCAATAAAGTGACAATATCTAAGGAGTATGCCCAGTTTGTTAATGCAACATGGAAGTAGGAGAGAAATACAGAAAATTGGGTTGTAATCATTATTACCATGCAAAATGTATCAAAAGTTGGTTATTGTAACACAATAATTGTCCCGTTTGCAAACAGACTGTTGTAATTGCTATTTGATTATTAAAAATGGCTGATTAATTATTCTTTTATCCACTTTGTTCTTTAGAGCGTAAATTTCCTTATCTTTACGTACTTGAGATTGCAGGAGTACATACCTTACATTATATTCTTAGATAAAAATAATGTGGAGTTAAGGATTCCCTCTTAATGATCTATTGTATTTAACTATTCACTAGAAACTCAAGAAAGTCAAATTAAATGAATCTAAAGATTATTCAATTAAAGAAGGAGAACACTTATTTATGAATAACACTGTTAGATTTGATTTACAATTCATTAATCACATTATTTTTAATGAGATTGATGTATTTCTTGTTTGCACATAAATAGATCTTTTATTGCTTAATTACTTGGTTAAATTAAAGTAATTCAAACCTTAAATTATATGCACAAATGCTACTTATCTTTTAGGATAACATTTCATTAAAGAACTTTATTAATGGTCAGAAATTAGAAATAGACATTTCTATTCATTCTAAGAAAATTATAACAAAGAAGAAGAATCTTTCAAAGTATTTGAAGAATTATATTAAACAAACTATTAAGAATTTACAGAAGCATTTCCATTTAAAGAAATAGATTGTACACTTGTCAATTATGGATAAATTGTTAAAATTCCATTACTTCAAGTATTATTATAACTATCTAGATATAAGAAGTAATAGCAATTGAATCATAATCCACTGGAACAGGAATTGGAGATTCATCATTCATAATATCACTTGGAAATTATTTCAAAATTGCTATTGCCAATGGTCTTAATAATACTAATTTTAATTTTGTTCATAAGGAAATATCATTAAAATTAAAAGATGTTGATTATCTCATTTATGGTCTTCCATAAAATAGAATTCATCAATCATTTTTATCTAAAACCTATGAACTTTTATAATATGGCTTAAATGTTGTCATCCCATTCAATTCATATTAAACTATTCTTGATTTATAAGATGAAATGTAAATATTATTATTATTCTAAATAGCGATGATAATTTACAACATAAATGTTTTAAAATATTCATAATCAGCTCAGAATTTCATAATTATACTCTGATAGCTAATTCATTAGTTGAGTACCTAAATAAGAAATTATAATAAAGTATTTTGAAAGATAACCCTCAAAATCCTTTTAACAAGATTTTGTATTTAATAAAAGCATAAAAAATAATTGTTGCACCTTCTATTGAAAAAATAAAATTTGAAGGGTTTTCTCTTAAAGAAACTTTGAAAGGAATAACACCAAGTGTTTTTTTTATTTTTGACAGTAGTCTTAGATTGGCTTAAGCTTTATTTCTCTTTGATCTACTTGAACAAATAGGTTAAATGACAACAATTTATACCCAAAAAATCAATAATACAGATATAACATTTGGTTTATAATTAATTGATCCTGATTTCTATGATGAAAAATTATTACATTAAATCAGATCCTCGTATAAATTTAGTCTTGCTTAAGCACCTATTAGTAACTAACCTTAATTTATTCCTTGGCCAGATTCTTACATTAAGACTTTTTTAATTCCAGAATCAACTACAATTTAAACAAAATCAATAGTGCTTAATTATAAAATGCTTTAAAAAATAACTTTAAAAATCAGTTAAATTATTGTCCCAATAAAACCATAATTAATTGGTTCTGGAAAAAATATCATCGGTAATATAGAACTTAGTAATGTTAAAATGAATATCAGTGATAATAATGAGGCAGAATTTAAAAAATCTAATCCTCCTGATATTTAATATATAGTAGGTAACATTTCAGAAGAAACAATCAGAAAAATCTCTGAAGAAATTCAAAAATATATTGGTCTCTTTCCAAGATACTCATCCCTAGAAAATATTGAATTTATTAATGTAGACAACCAAATATGTGCAAAAGTTGAGATTTTATAAAATGAAACTAAGGTTTATGCGAAGACATAAGATGATATTAAGAGAATATCTGATATTGTATTTAGATGTTTAGCTATTCGCAAATTATGATCAAATATATCATTATACTAAATTTAATTTATTAACTCTTCTTTAATGATTTGGAGTTGTCTTTGTATCAAATTCAGCTACAGATAAACCTTAAGCAAAATGAAGAGCAACATTTTAAGAAATGTTTTCTAAAGGTATAATAATCACATTTGCATCATTATGCTATTTATTAATATTTATATATCATACTTCTCTGCACATTTATATTAAATATTAGTTATAACAAATTGCTGCTCTAATTTTCTCAAATTTATTCAATATTATTTATGATTTTAAACTATTCTCTGTGATAAATACACATTAAGTTTATTTTTGTAATACTTCATTTACTATCGATTTGTAATTTGCATCAATCACTTCCACATTAAAGTATTTTTAAAAACTGTTCAACAGTCCTTCAGCTTTTCCACAATCTGATGCATATAAAAGCAATCTATTCATAAATAAATTAATATATTATTATTTTTATTTAATTTTTAATTAAAGTTTTTTATTTTCCTCTCTAATCTTTACTAAAAAATCATTTTTCTAGTCTTTTTATTCTAGAGGATAGGATGGATTCATTTTAAAAAAATGATTTAAACCTATTAAAATTACTTCCTATTTAAATTTTTGTATAAAAATATACAAACATGCATCTTAAACTTTAAATAAAAAATCAAGATATAATTTATTCTAACATTTAAATATTAAAAATCATAATTTTGATTGATGACAAATTCCTTACTAAATTTTACAATTTAAATATTTTATTTTCCCTTTTTGAGTTAGCATCTTGCATATCCGATTTAATTTTTATTTTAAATAATATTTTGCACATTTAATTTAACATATTCAAAATTTAACCTAAAAAAATATTAAAAAAAAAAAGTAAGATTGATTTGAAGTCCTCTTTCAAGTTTTCTTTGAAATTTACTATTTTTTATTAATTTTTATTTAAATTATTTTCACAATAAAATGTTATAGAAGATCGATTTTAAGATAAATCTGAAGATTCTTACAATTTAATTCTCAATCAGTTAATAAAGATATTTAAAAACAATAAATTTGGTTGTCATTTCTATTTATAAATATTTAGTTAATAAATATAATTACAATTTTCATAATAAATCTTTTATATTTATTTGATAAATCTTATTGATTATAGTAAGCGAAAAAGTTTAATGCTATCTATTAAGTTAATTAATATTTTCAGATTGAGAAAATTATATATATAAAACAAATTTTTAAAAAAAAAATACAAAAATTCAGATTTCAAAATAACTATAAGGAAATATTTAGCTTGAAACTTAATAAAATTAAGATTGACTAAATGGATGATAAAAATAAAATTAGTTGAAATAAGTTAAACTAACTAATAGAAATAAGAAAAGCAATTATCTATTGATTAAAAATTTTTTTCATTTATTTACTCTAATTTTGAATTGCATAATTTATGTAATTATCATCGTTTATTTCAAATTGTTTGTAGAGTTGTGATTATCTATAAAAAAATATAGATTATTGATATAGTATCTTAAATAGAATAAATGAATAAAAAAAAAATATTTTGTAAGGAATGCAAGTAAAAATGTTAAAAATAAAATTAATTCTAATGAAAATAATAACATTATTAAGTGTTTTGTTTGTTATTGGATCAAATTAAAGGCTTCCAATTGGAAGTTCAGAATGTAGCATATATTTGGCGAAATTTGGAACTGCTAATAATGTAGATGGATCAGGAGCAACAAAATTGGCATTTTCAGGTGATGTTTAGTTCGAGAATGGAATTGATGTTAAGGTTAGTTTGAGATACTCAGATGTTGATCTGTTTTCTAATTTAACTTATTATGGTTTTGTTAAAGAAGATGGAAAACCATAAGAAAGTACATGTCTTGATCTTAAATTATATAAATACACTTCAAACTCTTATTCTGATGCTATAGAGATAAAGAACTTTGCTATAACTTCATCGAACAGCACTTAAAAATAATGGAGATATTACCATTTCACTATTCCCGGGACATAATTAAATACAAGTTTAGTTTTTACATAAAATTCTAATTAATTCCTTTACAAAGGATATTATGCCATAGCTTACTATGCTGCTAATACAGACTAATTGCAATATACATTTTATTTTGAATTTTCTATGATTATTAATAGAGAGGGTGAAGGATTTACTGCTTTTAAACCATTAAGTAGAAAAGCAACCTCTACTTGTGATCCAAATAAAGAATGTGTTACTTAAGATGATACTATATTAAAATGGTGCAAAGATTTTAGTTGTACAAATTATGAAACTCCGGATCTTCATTATAATGATACATTTGTTATATAATAGATATTTTACTCTGGTGATATGACTGTGTATTATTTAACTGAAACTGAAGTTTGGTTTGTTGGTGATGGACTCCTTCAATAAGCAACAAAATTAACTTTGAATAACACAACTCCAGGATAAGTTATAATTTAATTATAAGCTGAAGTTGCTTGGAATAATGTATCTATTTAGGTTTCATCTATTTTATCTTCAACATAATCAGGATAAAGAAGATTGCTAACATAAACTTCTTTTGATACATTCTCAGGAAAAACATCAATTTTAACTTGTATTAAAGCATAGGATCAAAAGATTTGTCCATCATGTGAATAAGAATGTGAAATTAATGGGTTTGCTCATGATGGATGTCCAGAATGCTAATCTTTCCTCTAGATTAACGAATTTATTTTATTAGCCATATTATTAGCATTTACTATATGATAAGTTGATATTTTTAAATTAATTAGAATTAAAATTTCACAAATTATAATAACTCAATTTATATTCTAAATTATTATCTAAAAATCATATTCTATAATTCAATTCTCATTATTGTTTTTATCAATTTCAAAATAATTTATATATTTACATTATTATATATATAAAACTTTGAATTAATTAGTTTTACTTGATTTGTTTTCTTTTACAATATATTAGATAATATATTAGATTCTGAGTTGAAGAACTTTAAATAATAATACAGACAAAAAATGAATTTTTATTTATTTTTTTTTTATTCGTTTTGCATTAAAGCCATTTTATCTACAATATAAATAACTATAATATCCTTTTTCATTTGTAAATGAGAAATCTAAAAGCGATGAAGAGTAGATTGGTATTTTAGCAATCAAAAACCATTTTTTATCAAATTCAATTCTTATAATACTGAATGAATATGGTGACTATTAACTATAAAAGTTAATTTTTGATTTTATGTCTCAAATACTAACTTCATATCTATCACTTATTTAATGTGTAAAACGAAAATGTTTTTGTTTCAAATCTATCTACATAGNTCTGGTGATATGACTGTGTATTATTTAACTGAAACTGAAGTTTGGTTTGTTGGTGATGGACTCCTTCAATAAGCAACAAAATTAACTTTGAATAACACAACTCCAGGATAAGTTATAATTTAATTATAAGCTGAAGTTGCTTGGAATAATGTATCTATTTAGGTTTCATCTATTTTATCTTCAACATAATCAGGATAAAGAAGATTGCTAACATAAACTTCTTTTGATACATTCTCAGGAAAAACATCAATTTTAACTTGTATTAAAGCATAGGATCAAAAGATTTGTCCATCATGTGAATAAGAATGTGAAATTAATGGGTTTGCTCATGATGGATGTCCAGAATGCTAATCTTTCCTCTAGATTAACGAATTTATTTTATTAGCCATATTATTAGCATTTACTATATGATAAGTTGATATTTTTAAATTAATTAGAATTAAAATTTCACAAATTATAATAACTCAATTTATATTCTAAATTATTATCTAAAAATCATATTCTATAATTCAATTCTCATTATTGTTTTTATCAATTTCAAAATAATTTATATATTTACATTATTATATATATAAAACTTTGAATTAATTAGTTTTACTTGATTTGTTTTCTTTTACAATATATTAGATAATATATTAGATTCTGAGTTGAAGAACTTTAAATAATAATACAGACAAAAAATGAATTTTTATTTATTTTTTTTTTATTCGTTTTGCATTAAAGCCATTTTATCTACAATATAAATAACTATAATATCCTTTTTCATTTGTAAATGAGAAATCTAAAAGCGATGAAGAGTAGATTGGTATTTTAGCAATCAAAAACCATTTTTTATCAAATTCAATTCTTATAATACTGAATGAATATGGTGACTATTAACTATAAAAGTTAATTTTTGATTTTATGTCTCAAATACTAACTTCATATCTATCACTTATTTAATGTGTAAAACGAAAATGTTTTTGTTTCAAATCTATCTACATAGAAATTATATTAATTCAAATAAACAATTTTGATAATGAATTCAGAATTAATTCATTTTAATTGCTTTCTACAAGATTGTAACTCATAGAAAATATTAATTAAAAAGAAATTATTTAAAAATCAATTTCATGAAATTTTCTGTTATTCAATTTAAAAAATATGCAACAAATAATTTATTTTAATATGTATTGATATATAAATGATTAATTGAATAAGGATAAAAATTTGTTAATAGATTAGATATGATTTTAAATGAATAAAATGATACAATAATTTTCCAAAAAAATTTATGTTGAAAAAATCTTTATAATTAAGGAAATAAAATTAATAAATTGGAATGTTCATAAGAAAAAAGAAATAGAATATTGAAGTAATTAAAAGAACTTCAAATTTTTCTTTCAATTCCTATATATCCTTAAAAAAATTCAATTATTTAAGGAAAGAATTTTATTTAATAAAAGTTAATTGTTGATAAATTATTTTAATAAAATGAATCAGTATTTTAGAAATTCATTTTTGATATTGATACACATCTCTTTAATTCTTTTTTTATGAAGAATAATGATAACTTAAGATTAAATATTTATATAAAAATTGTGATATTTAAAATATTTATAAAACTTTTATATTTTATAATTTTATTAAAAAAAAATGATCTAAATCATAAGATTAGTAATAAATGAATTATTAAATTAAATAAAATTTTGCTGATTTTCTTGAAGTAATTTGTAGAATGGAATAGTCTTGAAATAAATCTGATTTTTGTAGTTATAGCATTTGAATTACTATGTATAGAATTTCCATAAAACTTTTGAAAACAAATTTAGATGATAGATGATGAATTTAGTTACAGTTTAAATAGATTCTCAATAAGCGTAATATATTCTAGTAAGAAGATAATAAGTATTATAAATAAAATATATTCAGGTTTCACCTTCAGCTGTTTAATCATTTTCTCCTTCAATTTTGATTCTTCTTCCATTTTCCCAAATACCTGCTTTTCTCTCTCCAGTTTCAGTAATTATTACACCTTTGCCATTTTATTTACCCATAGCCCATTCTCCTTCATATTTTTTACCATTATTCCAAGAGAAAACTCCTTATCCATGTTTTTTATCATCTAAATAATACCCTTTATAACTTTTTCCATCTGGCCATATTGTTTCACCATAACCATTCATTTTATTATTTAACCAATTTCCTGTATAAGTTTTACCATCATTCCAAGTATATTAACCATATCCGCTAATTTCATTATCCAAAAAATCTCCCTCATAAATACTATTATCTGCAAATTATAGTTTTCCTTTTCCATTTTTTTTTCCAAAAGTATACATACCCTAATAGTATTAAAAATGTTAAACATCATATTTAGAACCATCAGGCCAGACTTCTGTTCCTTTTCCATGTTATTAATCATTTAACCATTCTCCTTCATACTTTGCACCACCAGCATGTACATATGTCCCAAAACCATTAGCCATATCATTTGCCCATTATCCTTCATAAATATCTCCATCTCCATGAACTAAATTTGTTTATTATTATTATTGTTATACTCAATTTCCCTTTTCCTTCTGCTTTATCAGCTTTCCATTCCCCTTCATAATAGCCTCCATCAGCCCAAGTCTCTAATGATTTTTTCAATCTTACATGCAAACCAAAACCATCTCTCAAACAATTAAACCATTCACCTTCATAATAACCTCCATTTAGCATATTAATTCTAGGAAGTTTTTTTCTAATTCCTTTGGTGCTCTAAACAAGTTACTAAGATTCATCATTTGCTGGTCTATTGTCCTCTGAATAAGAAGATAAAAATCAACCATGAGTAAAAGATTGTGCATCTTATTGTTTCTCTTTATCCATTATTTAGTGTTCGCTACCACCTCTTTGTGTTTATAATTCTTCTTCTCCTAGCTTTTTTGGAATACAATTACAACTACCCATATATTTATAAATATATATATTTCATTCAATATTATTATAACTACTTCACTTTTTACTTCAAGTTACATTTATTTACATCTATGCTTATATAATATTTAGCAATAACTTAAAAATTGATTCCAATATTAATCTAAAACAATCATCCATGTAATAATAATATATCTATTTGAAAAAGGAATTTCATTATTATTTTTATATCTCATTAATACTTATGTGTAAATCCAAAGAAATGCAGTAAAGTGGTATAGTTTAATAATTTATATATATTTTCTCATTATTCAAAATGTAAATAACTCATAGAAAAAAAAAGAATTTTAGAATCAAGCGATTAAATTTATTGTTATTGCCCTAAATATGTTAGTAAATAAAAAAGAATATTGTTATTTATAAAGTCTAGCAAAAAACTTTTAATATATCAAGATAGAATATTAAATTATGGTGTGTCCATTTATAAACTCTCCTTCCAAATAAATAAAAATTATCTTTTATATAACAGAAACCATACTTTTAATTTATATATTCAAAATGATTTGGATTTCATTTTAGATTAATTTCCTAATAAATAATCATATTGATTAAAGGTTTCATCATTCCTATCATTAAAATATTTAATTGATTATGATTAGGATTTTGGTTATGTTTCATTTTAAAAAGTTGTACGAATAAAGCTTAATTTTAATTTAATTAAGATTTGAAATATTGATTAATTAACAATAAAATATTACTAAAGATTTAACTTAAATCTAGGAAAAAAACTATAATGATATAAAAATATAAATGTCATCTTGAAATAAAAAAGGTTTTATTATAGACAATTATTAGTAATAACAAGAAATAATGATTATTTTTAAAAATATTTAAAATAACTAACACAAAAATGTTTATTTAATGAGTGAACCAAAAATATTAATAATTTTGAATAAATTAATTACATTAAAATTTTGATTAATCCAATTACTAGTTGGAGAGTTAAAAAAGAAAATAAATAAGAGTATAGAATGATGATACCAAAACTAGAAGTAGAAAAATGGAAACTTTTAGTATAGATTATAATGTATATATACAGAATAATATAAATGATTTTATCACAAAAAATAATCAGGTACAGGATGTCTACCAATTAATCCTCTTTATTCAACATTAGCTGCTAAAAATATTTTGAATTTTTTTTCTAAATTATCATCTAATTCTAATATTGAAGCTTGATTTCCAACTCTATAACAATAATTTGGAGCACTCCAAACAGTAATTAATTAATCATCAAACATTGTTTTATATCCTTCCAGGACAAGTTAATGAGCACGACATATAAAATCGTAATTATTAGTTTTATTGAATTCTTTAGTAATATCTCCACCAAATATATATCCTGCTCCTCTTGGTGATACTCCCCATCCAGTAATATCTTCAGGATCACTCCATAAAAGATCACACATTGCTCCTTCATGTGGAACTTCTTGCTTTCTATCTAAAGATTTTACCTTTAAAAATATAGCGAAAACATTTACATCATCAATTTCAACAATATTTGGAGACAATCCTCCATGCACACAAAATACTCTATTTTCAATTACTGCACTTATTGTCAAATAATCAAAAACATCAGTACAATACCGCCAAACATTTGCTGAACCATATTTGCGCTAACATTCATCATAAAATCCATAAACTTAGGTGGTTTATCTTGATTCATGATTTCCTCTTATTCTTTAAAATAATTGTATCTTTTACATTGTAATTCTATCTGGAAACCGAACTTTGAATGCTAATAATAATAGAAAGGTTTCAACACTATTAAATCCACGATCAACTAAATCTCCAAGAAAAAGATAATTGGTATTAGGACAATCTCCTCCTACTTTAAATAATTCAATCAAGTCATGAAATTATCCATGAATATCGCCACAAACCTATTTGATGAAAAAGTTTACTGTGACAGGAGTATGAACAATTTCAACATTACTTTCAGATATAAGTATTTCTTTTGCTTTTGTACATAATTAGATAACTTCTTGTTCACTTAAAAATTGGCAATTCTTTAATTTTGCTATCCATTAATCTAAATCACTCATAAATATTTATTCATAAAAAATAATCAGGAATTGGTTTCTTGGCTGGTAATCCCCTATTTTCTTGTGGAGCAGCTTCAAATATTTTGTATGATTTAGCAAGATTTTCATCTAATTCAAGGATTGAGGCAACATTACCACATCTAAGATATATATAATAAAATATAAACCTATAACAATAATTTGGAGCACTCCATACAGTTACTAGTTATTCATTAAACATAACTCTATATCCTTCCATGACTAATTGATGAGCTCGGCATATCAATTCAATATTATTTTTTCTATTAAAATCATCTACAACATCTCCACCAAATAAATATCCTGCACCTCTAGGTGATAAATTCCATCCTTCAATTTCTAAAATATATAAATTAATCAATATACCATCAGGATCACTCCACATCAAATCACACATAGCTCCATCATGTGGTACTTCCTATTTACGATCGATTGCTCGTATCTACATAATTAAATTTCTAAAACATCATCCATAGTCTTTATTGAAGGTGATAATCCACCATGAACACAGAATATCTTCTCCTCTATTACAGCAGCCAAACTCAAGTAATCGAATATATCTGTGCAATATCTCCAAACATTTAATGATCCATATTTTCTTAGACATTCATCATAAAAACCATAAACCTATGTAATTTATCTAGATTCATGATTTCCTCGTATTCTATAATAATTATTATATATTACAATGTTATTCTATCTGGATAACGTACTTTCAAAGCTAATAATAATAAAAATGTTTCCACACTATTAAATCCTCTATCAACAAAGTCACCTAAAAATAAATAGTTTGTATCTGGACAATCTCCTCCTACTTTAAATAATTCCATTAAATCAAAAAATTAACCATGAATATCTCCACATATCTAATATTAATATTCTTTTTACAGTCACTGGTGCATCTACTCTTTGTACATTGCTTTCTTCAACCAAAATCTCTCTTGCCTTTGTACATAAAGCCTTAACTTCACCTTCAGTTATGTTCTCACAATTTCTAAGCTATGCTATTTATCTATCTAAATCAGACTAACTCATTTATTTATATTGGAGAAATATAAATTTAAATTATTATTATTATTAATATTAATATTAATATTAATAAATCACATTTTAAACAGAACTATTATATATAATTACAATCACAATATTATTATTAATAAGTAAAAAACTTAAATTTAAAGTATTTTTATTGATAAGAGAATAAGTTCTTATGATAAAAGTATTTATATCTTTAAATTTTAATAAAGACTTGAGATTAATAAATAATATATCATTAAAATTATCAATCACAAAAACATAAATATTGTAATGAATTGTTATTCAAACCCATAAGTGATACTCTCTTAATTAATCCATTACCAAAAGTGCCAGACTTCTATCTGAATAAAATAATAATTATCATCTAAACCATTTATTGTGATAATTTATTATATTGCAAATTGACTTTTTATTTAAATGGAAATCTGAATTCTTTCTCAGAATAAATAAATAATTTAGATCTCTACACCATTTTAACTCAATTTCAACTTTCATAGTAGTTTCATTTGAGACAAAGCTTTTTGCGGTTCTTGATTTAGATGGTGAATATATTTATTCTGGAATTCTTTGGCAGTGATTTGAATGTTGAATTAATTGATTAACATAAACCTTTATTTATTGTAACATCGAACTGGAAATAAAAAGGTATAGAATACATGATACATCACATAATATCCTTTAATAAAGAAATAAGTAGAATTTTATGTCACTAGTTATCTTGTTGACACCAGTAATCATTAAATGGTAATATCTCCATTATTTTTATATGTTGCTTGACGAAATTATAAGAAAGTTTTTTTATCCCTACAGCATCGTATTTATATGATTTAAGATCAATCATGTACTTTCTTTTGATTTTCCATCTTCTTTAACAAGGTAAAATAAAGTTTCATTATTAAACATTTCAATGTCCACATATCTCAAGTTTATCTAAACATCACTTCCATTTACAACGGAAATATCTCCTGTGAATTCTGATTTTGTTACTTCTGATCCATCTTCATTATTAACAGTTTCAATTTTTTATAGATACTTCTAATAATTTATTTCAATAAAGTTAAGTCTTTTATTATATAATTTATAGAACTTCTTAAATACAATTTGTTTAAAATATGCAAATACTTTAAATTCTATAATTCCTTTTGTTTTTTATCAAAGGTAAGATTCCATTAAATTAAACTACTTTTTTAATTTTCACTTTTAAAACTGATATTTACTTTGTAATATGTTTAAATGTTTTTTTTTATTTTTATTTTCTTTTAATTAATGTAAATCGAAGTAAGGAAGCCTTAAAAGCAATAATATTAAAAATGTAATTATAATATTTATTCATATAAATAAAATTAACTGAAAATGTTTCAGATTAAATCAGACAATAGATTAAACAAATATGAATCAATTGAACATGAACGTCCAAAAACATCTTTGGATCATAATAATTATTTAGAAAGGGAGAATTGGGAATTATAAATATAGTTATAGAAATTCAAAGAATTATATTTGTAATAAAAGCATTATTTTTAATGTTAATAAGAGTAGTTTCTGAATTTGTAAGAGAAATATGAAGAAAGTGTATCTAAAATAAATGAATTGGAAGAGTAGATGTAATAATAAAGTGAAAATTAAGAATAAACATAGCTTTGTGTTTCTTTATTATAAGATCTTTAAGGGTTAGAATACTTAGTAAATAAGATGAAACTCTTAATACCAAATAAATAAGCATTAAATTTGATTAGTTAGATATAAAAAACATATGAACAATTAAGAAATAAAGAATCGATTCCTAGTGAATAGTAGATTTATCATAAATTGCTTTAAGCTCTAGATAAGAAGTTAAGTGAAATAATAAATAATGAAAAAGAGAATGTTAGTTCACATTAGAACATTTAAGAGTCTTAGCCAAAACTAAAAACATACTTGTCTTAAAAAATGATGTGAAATAGTTATATATCTATAAATATTTAATATAATAAATATGAACAGGATTTGATAAAGGTGTAGTTTGAATTTAGAATAACTTTTATATTAATGATAAAATAATAAAATATTTAGCTATCATTCCCTAATTTAGAAGAATGGCATTATAAATAATTATAGGAAGTGTATTAAACCTAAATTCTATAACAATATCACATATTAACTTAACAAATAAAAACTAAATTTCCTATACCTAATCAAATAAATGAATATGAATTGCCAACTTAAGATAATGCAATATAATTTTTTTAAAATTACAAGCCTATAATCGTTGATTTTAGTTAAGTGTAGGATATCAAAATCAAATTATATAAGAATGCAGCATATTTTGGAAACTTAGTTGATGGATTTCGATAAGGATAAGGGGTTTTAATAAAATAGACAATGTAATTATATGAGGGTTCATTTGAGAAGGATAAAAAGGAAGGGATAGGATTTGAAGTTCTTAAAAGTAATTAATATTATTATGGGAACTATGTAAATGGATTACCATAAGGAGAAGGAGTATTTTGGTCAAAGAGTTAGAAATATATAGGTTAATGGCATTAAGGAAAAAAAGTAATAATAAATATAATTAATTAGCATGGAATTGGATGGTATTAAGGAATAAATTAAGATTATTATTTAGGAAATTGGGAAAATGGGAGATGTTATGGATTTTTTTTACATATTAATGGATACATGTATATATAAATGATATAAAAATAAATAGATATGTAGGTGAAATAATAAATGATTTAAAACATGGTTTAGGTAAGGAGTATTTAGAGAATGGTGATATATATAATGGTGAATATAGGAATGGGAAACCAAATGGAAAAGGAGAGTACTGGTGGAGTAATGGGAATCATTATTAAGGAGAATTTGAAAATGGATTAAGAAATGGTTATGGAATATGGTAGAGTAAAACAAAAACAGGGATAAATTGTTATAAGGGTTATTATTCAAATGATAAAAAATGTGGGGAAGGTATATTTGAATATGCAAATGGAACAGTTTATAATGGTAATTTTATGGAGGATAAACGATGTGGTTATGGATAGATTATTTGGAATGATAAAGCAACATATAAAGGATATTGGAAGGATGGATTAATGGATGGAGAAGGAGTCTATTAGTATGATTCTTTAATTTTGAAAGGAAATTGGAAATAGAATTAATTATAAACTTTTGATAAGGTTAGAATGTCTTTAAATGAATTTCCATAATTACATTAAATTAAAGATATTATTGAAAATTAAGATATTTAATCTTAAGTAGCAGAAGAACCAGATTTAGATTAAATTTAGGATTAATTCTAAAAAGAATTATTATTCGGATCTAAAGCAGAAACAGTACAACTTAATACTTCACATAATACTAGTCATCATGATATGTAATTTAATCCAAGATTCTCTATTCTTTAAAAATAATTTGATTTATTAAGTCTTTTGGATTAGGGATTATAATTTTAATCTTTAGAAACTTCATAAAGATAAAATAGTTTCAGTGTTGCAATTCAAACAGATTCTAAAAAGAAATTCCTTCCTAAATTAAATATAAATAAGAAACATCCAACTTAATATAATATAAATTAATCTTTTTAAGAATAAATGAAAATAAATAGTACTAATTATCAATATCGTAATTTATAAGGAACTCCTAAAATGAAGGAAACCGAAAGTTTTCATCATCATACCGAAAGGTTTTAAGGATAGACATAAAAAAAATCAAATCGTTCCGTTTAAAATAGAAGTAAAAAAAATAAGCAAGTTTTATTATCTAAAAAAGAATAAAATTTGTGGGCTATAAAAATGAATAAACTTAAATTAAGTCCTACAAAATATTCTAAGATATGGAATCATGAAGTAAAATAATGATAAATAATTAAGGTTGTTGATGAAATTAGATAATTTCTTTATCCTCCTGTTTGGAAACCCCCTTCTCATATACCTTGAGTAAAAATATTCTATGTTTATTCTATACTATTAATTTTTTAAATTAATAACAATTATGCTTCAAAATTCTGAAAAACAAAAAGAATATTTCTCATAACTTTTAGAAGAGATATTAAAAGTATTTAGAAGTCCAGATCTCAAAATCATCAATTTTCTTTATAATGTTATATTTGATTAGCAATATTATAAACTTACTACTATTGATAAATATTCAGAAGAAGAATTGAATTATCAAATAGCAAATATGATGTTATACCCTTTAAATGTTAGAGAATTTAGGAATACTCAACAAATGAGTTCATTAATTCCTTTCTTCTTAGTATTTGTTATTGGTCAAAGACTTGATATAAATAAGTGCATTAAATAGGAAATGTAAAACGAATGGGATTATTTTCTAACTGCAGTTGCTAAAAAAATTAATTATGAAGAAAGTTAATGTAATGAATATTTAAAACAATTCTAACTTCATTTAGAAATGCAATCTAAATAATCTTAAGCCATAGATTTAGATAAAACAATGATCTAAATTAGTAATTATTATCAAGGAGATCAATTACTCAAATTATTAAATTTAATGTTTTATTAAGATTATTTTAGTTTCGCTATCAATTCATTAAAAAGTTAGGATGAATACGATAATTTTAAAAAATAAAAAAAATAGGAAATCATTATTAACACATTTTAATTTATCTAAAAAAACCATATGGAAGAAATTTAAGGAAATTTAGAATATACAAAAATGCAAGTTGCTATCTCATTTTTAAACAATAAATATAATTATGAATATATAACAGAAAAATTCGATAATCTTTAAGCTGGTATTCTCATTTTTCGTCTAATTGAATTAGATCATAAATAATTTTAAAATTACTTTTAGATACAACAACCAAATATGTAAGAGTAATTATTTAATCAAATTATTTAAATTGCAGGAAATAAAGATAGTTTTTTTCCTAATTTAATCTTAGTGGGTAAATGTCTATCTAAATTAAGATTATGGGAATTTGCATTGGAAATTTATAAAAAATTAATCAAATAAATAAATAACATGAGCTAAGAAAAATATCGAATATATATTTAATTTAAAATTTATAAAATTCACTTTTTGTAAGGTTAAATTAAATATTTGCTTAAAAAGCTCATAAATTTAAGCGAATAAATGTATAAGTATAAAGAAAATTAATTGGAGTTTTATTAGCCAAAAAACAGAAATCTCTATAATGAATGTTTATTTATATAATTATTAATAAGTGCTTATACAAAATAAATTGATAAATTAAAACACATTACTATAAAGATTAATACAATCCATATGTAGAACAATCACTATAATTAATTAAAAAGACCTTTTACTCTATTATAATACGAATTCTTTAGATTAGTGAAATAATAAGTAGTTATATTTCATGGAAAAGATGACAAAAATAATTTAGAACATATTTTAGACAAAATAAAACAAGTTTGTTAACAAAGACAAGAGATTGAATAAAAGAAATCTGGTTTTTTTAAGAATATAAAATTTATTTTTGAATCACCTACAAATAGAAATGATTAAATGATCTAGATTTCTAGCTACTATAAGGCTGTAGAAGAACTTCTTATTATTAATGTCTTAGTTCGGCATAGAGAGATTTATATTTTATAATATTTAAATCCTAACTTCTATCCCTTATTAAGAGTTTTTCTTGAAAAATAGTTCTTTGATTTAACATTGAAATCATAAATATATCTATTTATTCATGATTTTGATAAAGCTTTTGAAATTGCAATAAAAACAAATAACTATAAGATGATTGGATAGATTTATGAATATAAGGATAAGTATAATTTGGCAATAGATGCTTATACAAAGGATTTTAGTCCAAGCTGTTTATTTAGTCGTGCCGTATTATATAAAATTCTTTAAGATAGAGGTTCTTTAGAGGATAGTGGGTAAGTAAGAAATTAGTAATTATAAAATCTATATAAGAATGCAATGGAATGTTTTAGTAATTTAAAAAAAAACTAAAATTAATATAAATAGATTTCAATAAAATATCATATATTATTATAACGTTAAAATTAACTATAAATTACAAATAGATTTGAGTTAGAAGATGAAGTTTCTATCTAATATTCTTAATTAAATATAAGATTAACTTAATCAACAAACTCATTAAATTAAAATTATCTGCAAGATTTGTATTATGATAATTTTAATAAAAATAGCAATCTTTATTCTTAAATTTATAGAAGTGCTAATAGAATTTCTGGTTAGATAAATATGGTTCAATCCTAGCAAATTGAAAATTCGGAAAGTGATACAAGTAGTTTTCTTGAATCATCATTATTTTAAACTTAATCTTTTTAAAAAATGTTTGAGAATTTTAATTTTTCAATTAGAAAGGATATTGGATTTTTTTATTAAAATTTGAAATAAGACATTATATCTGAAATAGATACTGATTTAGAACGAACATTAGATGAATTTGTAAGTAAAACTAGATTTTTAGAATATGAAAGTTTTTAGTTATTTGAGAATAATAATTTGGGAGAAAAGATTGGATAAGGAGGGTTTAGTGAAGTATACAAATTTAAATTTTAAGATTAAATTTATGCTGCAAAAGTGATTAAATTAGAGTATAGAGGATCAGGAGAAACAATTAGTGATAATGAGAAATCAGATATTAAAGATAGACTTTTAGAGGTTTGTATTGTTTGTGATTTAACTATATAAAAGATTAAATATTGTTTACAAATTGAACATTTAGGATTTAAATTTGAAATGCTAGGTTAAATTAAAATATATAAAATTATTCTTATTACAAAACTGTATGATAATTATTAAGAATTTTTTAAGTGGGAAGATAAAGATAAAATTAAGTTTGTTTATAAATTATCTAGAGGACTTAATACTTTACAGAATGATAGAGAATTACTCCATTTAGATTTAAAACCTGATAATGTTTTAGTGGATTCAAAAAAAAAAAGCCCTATTATTGCTGATTTTGGATTATCCAAATATTCTTAAGCTTCATATAATCTTAATTTGGCTCCTAAATAAATGACAATTAAATATATAGATCCTGATTTGGTTTATAAAAAACTTTAAAGTCGACAAAATGATGTTTATTCATATGGTATTTCATTATTTTAATATTTTTCTGGATCTATTCCATATAAAGACCTAAATTCTTAGTAAATTTATGGGAAGCTTAAATAATTTTAAGAATATCATTAAAATGCAATTTAAAGTATATAAATAGAGCCAATTAAAAATCTAATTCTAGATTGTACATTACCTATTGAATAAAGGATTTCTTTTATCATAGTAATAAAAAGGTTATTTACTTTATTATATGAAATTAATAATCCATCTGTCAAGATATTAATTGAACTTCTTTTTGATCATATTGAATTTTAGAGAAAATAAAGAAAAGTGTAAAATATTAATACTTAAATAAAACTAATTAAAACCTTTATTAAATATACAAACAAATTTTCGCCTATAAATTTAGAAAATAAAATGGTTTAGACTTTTAAAGTGATTTTTTCAACATAATCAAGCTAATGTTATTCAGAAATAATTTAAAGGATGAAATAATTTATTAATTGGATGATATTAAATGATTTTGATTACACACTGAAACTTGTAGATTTCAATATTATTTATAATAAAATAAATGAAGATGAAATGGAAATTAATTTTAATTATTGGGTTGAAAATTCCGAAAAAATATCATTAAATGATATTTATTAATGGAAACCATTTTTCTATGAACTTATTGAAATTTTATTAAAAATTCATTAACATTCAATATGTATATTATATTTAGGATTGGAATAAATATATAAATAGGATGGTAGGATAAAATTAAGTTGTTTATCGATTTCATAAAATCTTAAAATTGATGATAACAATTAATTTGAGCTTAATAATTCCTAAATTGATCCTAAGATTAAAAAAACAAATAAATTTAATTTGTAAAATGACGCTTATGCATTTTGTATATTAATATAGTAAACTATGTAATTAATCTAATAACCATTCGATTAAGCCGAATAGGAGAGATTGAATACATTTACCAATGAAGTTTTGAGCCAAAGTGAAGTAATAACTTTATAAGAAATAATTGATAAACTATTAAATTGATTATTAAAATTAATATAACCTTTAGAAATAATGTCTAAACCTTTAACTCAAACATTAATTGCTTAGAAAGCTAAAACAGAAGCTTTATACAGTATTAAATCATTGAACTTATGGGGAAATGATCTTGATGACATCTCAATAATTGAACGACTCCCTAATCTTGAAGTTCTTTCTTTATCAGTTAATAGGATCACTACTCTTGCTGATATTGCAAAATGTAAAAATATTAAAGAGCTGTATTTGAGAAAAAACAATATTTCAAGTATTACAGAATTACAATTCCTACAACAATTACCTAAATTAAAAGTCTTATGGCTTTAAGGTATAATTTAATTAAATATTAGAAAATCCAATTGCTGATCATCCTAATTATAGAGATGCTGTAATTTCCAATTCTTTAACACTTGAAAAATTAGATGATATTGTCATCAGTTAATAAGACAGGGCTAATGCATAATAATAATTATAATATGGAATTTCATAAAGTCCACCTACCAAAATATAAAAAGTAGATGAAGAAATGCCATAATTTGTTGAAGTTATTAAACCTAATCAATATTCTCCTAATAATGGCGGAGGAAGATATTCAAATTAAAGAGAATAATAAACAAATCAATAAAGATAATCATAATAACAAATGTAACAATTTCATTAATCATAATAACAGTAATAATTATATCAATAACAATAATTATTAATATAGAGAGAAAGAGAGTAATAATAAAAAGAATAACAATAATAATATTTATAATAATAACAATATCAATAATAAATTTAGTAATAACAATAATCACAATTACTTTTACAATAATAATAACAATAGTAATAATACTAAAGACAAGCAATAAGATAAGAATATCCTGATGAAGAAAGAAATTCAAATATATTATGTGCTATATTATCTCTTTTAAAAGAATTAGACAAACCTACATTAGAAGTAGTTTCAAGAGAAGTATATGATAGATTATAATAATATTAAGAGTGATTATTTTTTATTCAACTTTCATCATTTTTTATTTTTTTTAAAAAAAACAATTTTCGTTAAAAATTCTCTAATCATATTGAGATATTAAATTTATTGATTAGATAAATGAAAATAATATAAATCGTTTTAAAGTAGGTAAATAAGTAAAATTATAGTGAGGATAGTAAGATAACTTAGTGAAAACTAAACAATATCTATAATTGAATAAAAAAGCTGTGTGAATAGAAACTAAAATAGAAAATAATCTTGATTTGATTAATATTAATATGCTATTTGTTTGATCATTCATTAAGTACTACTCCTAAGGAAATGAAACTGTCTCCCATAGTGATATCAATTTCTTTAAGTCCAAAGGCACCAATAAAAGGATTTTCAATACCTTAGTTTAGATCTTGATTGATTGAAGGTAGAAGTGCACCAACAAGAGAATTTAATGTTTACATAATACTTAATTGTTGAACAGTTAAGAGTTCTCCTGAAGTTTAATCAATATCAATAATTTTGACAAGCATGACTGAAGCTGAAAAGAGTCTAGGAGATTTATTATAAAGTGTGACCATTATACCTAATTATACTTCAGCTGTATAAGCTATTACACAGGATTAGCATTCTCCTTTATTTGGATAATTATTTGAATCTGTATCAACTATGAAATCCATCATAACAGTCATTGCTCCAAGTAATCTACCACTTCTAATATACATTTATTATTCAGCTGTTTATCCATAAATACGTATATAAATTCCTTTATCTGGTCCATATGCTTCATAGAAATCAGGAATTATTAATTTCATTCCATTTGTAGTTAATGAAATAGGTAAATCAATATTTTCTAACATAGAATCATCTATTGTTAAATCTAATTTTTTGCTATCAATTAATATCCAGAGTAATTAATCAATTATATTACCACCAAGAATCAATTCTAAAGCTTGATTAGAATTCACTCTATTTGGTAGATTACCAGTATCAAATATTGGACAACCATTACCTGTGTCAACATTTTCTATTTGAATATCCAATTCAAGGCTCATAAATGTACTTTCACTATATATTACACAGGGTGGTCTTGTAAATGTTATTTAGAATTGATAAGTGTAATCACCAAATTATTAGGCTAGTTATAATCTTTGATTTTATGATAAAACTCCTAATGCTGGTGATGCAACTTAAAGAATCATCTTTTTTGTTTGTTTTATTATTAAAGGCGTAAGAAGATCGACAAAAGCATTTATTCCAGCTTAGGGAGGAATAATAACATTATCCATTATGAATTACAAACGTGATAATGATATATCTACATATTTGATTATTGGTTTGAAACCCTTAAAAATATATATAAGTTTATTACCCATGATCTTTTTGTAGTTGTTGGATCGAATTATATCACTAAACTAAAATCCAAATTCTACAATTTAAATACTGTCCCTGTATTTAGAACTTACCATCCTCCAAAAACTAATCTAGTGAAAGCTTAAATTGTGATATTTGCTTATCTCAATTATAATAGTATGGAATCCTCTTTATTCTGATATGGCATGATAAAAGTATCATCCCAATTAAGAGTAAGTTCTTCTAAATAGACTTCATTGAGGTCTAGTTCCACTTAACCAATAAGGGGTAATGATTGTTTCAAATTTATATCTAGTGGAAGATGAGCACCCTAAATAAGCGAGATGATTGGTTTTATGATGTGCTACTTGAAGCTATTAATTTAGTTGAAATCTAAGGCAGCTTTGAATTCAGGTATGTGATCTGCTCTCACAAAAAACAACACTGCAAATAATATGATATTCATAAATATGATGTCATAATTCATCATTTACACAACTTATGTTAATTGAGTGCACTATTAAAGATAATATTATCATAAATATCAAACATCAAATCTAACATCCCTGTTCCGTAGACTTCATTTTATCCAATAATAACTCATTAAGATGCTCTATTCATAGAATCTTGTTTTTCTAAAATGATAACATTAAAAAATACATTCATAGTATTTTAACAAAGGATACAAACACTAATGCTGGTTTTTTTAGTTAATTTATTCCTTATCCTATGAAACCAAGTCTAAGTCCTTGAATAAATATATATTATACCTTTAAATATCATTAATTCGCTTATAATAAGATGAGCCTTATATCTATTGAACTACTGTAACTCTGCATAATATTAATATAAACTTCATTAAGAATACAAGTAAATTTTATTCCAAGAACAATTCGAATTTTCATAATCTGATTACTAACAATTCTTTTCCAATCAATATTATCTAATCTTAGAATCTCTTTAAAATTCCTTTTGAATCCAATTCTTAAAGCAAACAAATAATCTACTATCTCCTTTAAGTAACTTATATAACAATTTAACTAATATGAGGATAACCATAAAATATCTAATTTTAATAATTTACATTATAAATCTTTGAACCAAAATAATCAATTTTCTGATTTTTTTTTTTAGTGTTCTTAATAAATCTAATACGTAAATCTATTTTCCCAATTTTAATTGAAAACAACAGCAAATGAAATGTTTCATTTTCGAAATAATCAAAGTAATGTGTTTAAATCAAAAAAAATAAATTTAAGAATTAATATCCCATCTTTACCTTCTTTTATGTCTTTCTTTACAAATCATTATGATAGATGATAGTAATTAATTTCTTTTAAAATTATCCTCTGTTAATTTCTTCTCCACTCTATTCGTGATAACAATGACGACATTATTTATTAGAACAACATTTCAATACTTTCATGAAAATCTACGGTTATGCATAGAATGATCGTAATTATAATTAATTGGAAATTGATTGATTAAATCCATTTGATGCCAATCTTATTTGAATCACATTTTTAAACATTCCAAATATAATCATACGAAGTATTGATATTGCAGTATGCATAAATTTTATTGGACTTTTAATAATTATCTAATATAATGAACAAGTTCTTATACTTTAATTATTCTCTTTATGAAGTA